CAAATTTGTGCGAATGACACAACTTGCTAACCCTTTGTTACACTACCTACTCTCGCTCTGAACAGCTGTGTCTGGCATGCACAATAAACAATACCAGTAACGTTTCTGCTGCGGAGCTGCTGCTGTCAGCCCTATCTGTCTATACTGAGTTTGCCTTTGTACAATAAAAGCCCTGTTAACATGTAAGTGGAATCTGTCCACACAAAAGCTTTCAATCTCATATACAGGAAGTGCTTAAAAATCACATTTACATTTTTTTGTCTGTTTCTGTAACATATTGACACATATAGACATTGAAACTGTAGTGAACGCTGTATAGGTTGCTGTCCCTTTTCACTTCTATTTCTGCTGAGAACCCCAAACGCTGCTCAGGTAGGCAGTGTAAGCTCTCCTACGAGACCCCTAAACCATGTAAACCATTTGCCATTGCCACACAGTCACATCTGACACCCCAGTGCTCCCACTACAATCCTCCCTCCTTTAAAACAGTTTGCTCCTGTTGTCTAGGAATAAGTAGACCTATACAGAACATATATATTGTCTGGACTGGTCCACACAGTGGTAGCTGGAAAGTTTCATTTCCAGTTTGTGAACACGTGTTCAAGCCCGTTGCGGTCGTCTTTTCCGAGCTGCAGTTTATAAACACCTGTTGGTGTTCATCAAATATAAATAGTTGAATTACACTCTCACTTTTGTCAGGCACAAAGTCACAGCACAGCACTGCCCAGTAGAGATGCACTGCAAGCTGCACATCAACTTAATGTTACTGTTATTTACTGGCATCAGACTTGGAGAGAACATAACTTTACCTGATTCCTCTTCACTGCAAGTCACTCTAATGGTGTAAAGTTATTCATTTATGTCGTTGCGGTCGTTTGGCCATAAAGAGAAGCTTATATTGTGTCTGTTTGTGTGTGTTTGTGTGTGTGTGTGTGTGTGTGTGTGTGTTTGTGTGCGTGTGTGTGTGTGTGTGTGTGTGTTTTCTGTCTAGTTTCTTCGTTATGATGGCATTGTGAGGGCTAGACGACTGGGTCAGAGCATCTCCAAACCTGCAGCTCTTGTGAGGTGTTCCTGGTCTGCAGTGGTCAGTACCTATCAGAAGTGCTCCAAGGAAGGAAAAGCTCACTTCTAATTTTAACATAGCTGCTTTGTCAGCTATGATTATGTTAACTTAAACCTATTGTGGATCAGTGTTGGTTTTTCTTGATGTACAGCAGGTGCCATCGCTGTGGATTTTTGATCTATTGTTAGAATTAGTTGGTTCTTTTGAGTGATTTATAAAAATGGAAAGGTCATAATGAAGGCTGCATCCACACGTGTAGGTTTACAGTCCCGATTGTCTTCAACTTGGAGCAGCAATCTCATTGGAGCTTGTAATATCTTTCCTGAACAAAGTGCTTTGTATTATAGATCTATCCTTTGCTTGTTCAGAGGCAATTTGTTCTGAGCTCCTTTCAAATTGCTGTCTAAAGTTTAGAATTGAGAGGGAAGTTTGACATCATCTACAGTACTTGAAATAACTTGAAAATAGTTTTGTTTCCTTAAAGCTGGCTTTTATTTATGTGAAACACTTTAGAAAATTGTTCTCTTTTGTGCTTGGATAGTAGTACATGTGATCATTATGGACCTGGAAATGAAACTTTCCATTTTAAGACATATATTTCACATATTTACCTACCTGCTGCACAATTCCACACAGTACTTTCCCTCTCACATACAGATAGTTCAGGTGGTTGCCTGAGAGCATCTTTGTCCGATAATTCATTTAGTAGACAGCTTGATTAAGCGGCCTGCCTTGAGAAAAAGACTGGTAGCCATAAAATTGTCTGGCTGCTAAGAAATCAATAAATTTCTGCAGCTCTGGTTTATACAGCAGAAAGTGCAAACACAATACAACTCAGCGTGCTTTAAGAATGTATTTTGAATCAATTGACTACGAGTGCAGTAATCTTTAGTTCTTAATGGGTGAAACTGCACTGGGAACAGGTGAAATGATCTCGGCCCATTCAGAGGTACTAAATGACCTGTGCTGGGCTGTGAAAATGTGCTCAGGGGTTGTGAACATGTTTCCATGTCCAACAGTGTGGTTCTGGATATAATTCTTAAAGCCTTATTTTGTCTCTGTGCAGAAACAAAGCTAGCAGTGCTGACGATCACGTTCATTCAAGCTAATAAGATGTCACACCCTGAAACAAAAGCTTTTCTTAAGAAGCTATATTGCTACAACCACTTTTGTGCTGAAGGATCCCTATTTTTTAAAGACTGCTCAGAAAGAAAGTGTGGAAATACTATGGATTCCAAACTAAAGAAGGTATCCTATCTTGGATTTAATAAAAAATATTTGTTTCTGAACAAAATGTAAGGTAACGTGATTTCTATATTTTACTTTTAGGATAATCATATGATATTTTTATATTGTCTCATACCTACTCACCTTAGGCTGGCCTTGCCTTACTTGGTCAGTATTTCAAGCTTGGTTCACTCAGTTGGAGCTCTTCATCATTTGCTTAAGAAAGGAAGCAGAACATTTTAAAATCACCAAACTGCCAGTTTTGCTGACAAAAAAAGAGAACTGTTTAAGTCACTTGGAAGCTCAAGGCATAGTCTATAAACACAACAGTGACATATTATGACCCTTTAAGTAGATATGGCAAACTTGTCATTGTTATCATTGATTTGGAGTCATATATGTGTCCACATTGCAAACAAAAGCTCTTTAGTTTCATCCGTATAACATTTACTCTTTGTTTGTGATTGTTGATCCTGATTGTGTATGTTTTGCCAGATCTCAATGGATTTTGGAAAGTAACCAGTATCAGCAGGTTCTTGAAGGCAATTTGATGAAGTCGCAAGAACATGACTGACTTTTATTATCTGATTTGCATTGTACCATCTGACAAAACTTTGTTACCTGTGAAGATTACTCTGCAATCTGTTACTTAGCAAAGTTACTGGAGGTGAATTCATAGCTTGGTCAGTAGTGTGAACTGTGAATCTTTGAGCCCCTATAGGCATAGTCATGAACGACAGAGCTGGCTAACCAATTGCAGGGATTACATTTTCACTGGTGTGAGGCCGGTATCTCACTCTCTCTGCTTGTTGCATTCAAAGCTCAGTAACAAAAAGCTTTAACTTGTCCATGGAGGATTAAAAAATTATGTCACAAAGCACAGAATTAAAAAGGACAGTGATTCCATTTTCATATAAACATAATTTCTCTTTATTGATTTTGTGTGCTGCAAAGGAGGATATTGAGTTTATCCTGTTTAAAGGAAATCTGTTTTGTTGTAGGGTATAATTCATGTCTTTATGTTAAAAAACAATTGCTCCGGTGAAGTGCCTGCATTATTTATTAGAAACTGCTTTGTATTTGTCAGTGGGAAAAAGAACGGAAACAGTCTCGTAAATGAATGTGAGTGGCACTTTTTCCTTGCCGTACCAGAGTTTCACTGCACTGCCAAAATGTGAATAATTCCACCTTCACATTTAAACAGGCATGAAACTTTTAACTTGTGCAGCTGAATGCCAAAATATAGCCTGTGCTGCAGAGCTTCTCCCAGTGGAACCAGCTCCTGGATCCTTCAAGCTACCTCTCCTTTACCTGTCAGTGCACACACCTGAAACGTTCCCAGAAGGCAATTGTAATAGATTTTGGACAATTTCATTTTATAATCTGGCTGGTTTTTTGTAAGTGTTTTGTTTTGTTGTTTTTTTTATGCAACAGAAGAAAAAGATTGGAATGTTATCGGTAATGTGAGATGAAACTAATGATTCACACATTAATACATTCAGATGAGACCTCAGCAATGATTAAAAATAAATTAACATCCCCAAATATTACTAGTAGCAGTTAAAAGTGTGGTTCACCACTCAGTGTGACAATAGGTCCATTGTAAGGGATGTGCCCTCCAGTACACTCTATACATTTCTTTTGACTGTCAAAGCAAATAATTCAATCTTGATTTACATTATTTTTTCAGTCTGTGGTTTCTATCAGTGTCTAATACAGCACAATGAAAAACAGTGGCCAAGCACTTTAGGAAAGTATTTAAACTTAATGTTCATTCATGTTTCTAACATGCAGGCAGCATACCAGTCATAGCCTGCAGACTTAGAAGAGGTCATATTATGCTCATTTTCATGTTCAATTTTCACTATATCCAGAATTTAGTACATAATCTGATAATCTGTTAAAAAACCAGGTTCCTCTGGCTCCTCCTAGTGCTCCTAATGGCATTTGCAGAAATCCAGTGTGTCCGAATGAAAACAACCAATCGGAGCAAAGAAAGATAGTTGATTATTGAGTCTCATTCCTAGCATCAGTATTTGACTACCTTCAAGCTGCCAACCCAAAGTGTATTTCTATCTTTCTCTGCTCTGATTGGTTGTTTTTGTTCAGGCCCTGTGGATTCTTATAAATGCCATTAGGAGCACTAGGAGGAGCCAGAGGAACCTGATTGTTTCAAAGACTACAGTCAGGATGTAGTTAAAGTTTCAGCAAATATGACAGTTATTCTTAATAGTAACCTACTGCAGCTTTAAAGGGTTGCTCCAGCAATTTATACTTGAAGTTATATATGTCTTATTTGTAAACTCTCCTTCAAGTACTTGGATTTGGGGAGACATTAAAAAAAAAACCACCCATACAGACAAACAAAAATGATTGATGCAACATGATGGAACAGAGGCCAAGCTATCCAGACTTTTTGTTCCAGTTAGAAAAATCCTGGATCCTGCACTCACCATATTCACATCATAGTGTCTCTTCATAGACGTCGTTAGACTTCCCCCGCCTGATAAATGCCTGTGTCCACACCCCCAGTTTGTAACACAGGCTTTATGTTCTATCATTGTAGTCCCAAAAGACCCTCGACAGTGGCTTTCACATGCAGAGTAGTACTTGTCATGACAACTAAACTGAGCTTGATGTGTAAAATTGTTCCCCTTTATTCTCCTTCACCCTTTGTTAAATTTACCCATTTTTCATTTTGCTTTCACAGTACCACCGAAAATCATCAACTTGTCAAGAGATATTGTGGTAAATGAAGGTTCCAACGTTACCCTGATGTGCCAAGCCAACGGTAAACCGGAGCCTTCCATCAGCTGGAAACTCATCTCCTCTTCAGGTAACTTTGTCTGTAAATAAGTATATTAGCTACAGAGCAGCTTTCTGTTATATTCACGCGTTCTTCCTAAATGTGTCACATTTCCTGTGCTTCCGACTTCATTTTCCTCACCATCCTTCCTTCGGTCTTTCTCTCTTTCCCTCACCCCTCTGTGTTTATCGCCCCATCTTTGACTTTGTTTGACCCCCGGTGGATTTCTCGCTTCACTTATTACCCATCATTACCTGTTTCCAGATCATCATTACAACGTAATTGTTCACAGGAAAATAAACTGACCCTGTTGTTATTGGACTAATTAATTAGGATAATAGGATGGATGTAAATGTTGTGGAGGGACTTTGAATGACAGGATTAATGCAGAGAGCATTAACACAGCGTGGAGCATTATGCATTATACAAGCATGGCACAGCAAGTATGTCCAAAATCGGGTTAGTTGCATTGTATATGTTCAATGGCATTTATTCCTATTATTCCTTTCTTAAGGATGAAGCAAACCAAGTACTAGCTGCTATTTCTGTATCCCACTGTGTCCTTGCTTCACTTCAGCAGGCAAGATGTTTGCATTCATAATGAATTACATTTAAAAGCCAGAGCTTTTGTGCTTTCATCTGTGCTGTCTTTGTGTTGAAGCAGGGATCTGGGAATTGAAATGGTAATATGACACAAGTGTGACTGACCTGTCTGTAAGGAGATAAGCAGGCATGGGGGGGGGGTTGATTAGCTCCTAGTTGCGAAATGCTACAGTACATGCTTATACATACATTTTTCCAGTGGAGGAAAGAGTACTGAAAATCTGTACTCAAGTAGAAGTACTGTTACATTACTCAGAGATGTCTCAACTACAAGTAAAACTACTGGTGTTACAGAAATACTTCAGTAAAAGTACAAAGTATTCTACTCTAAATGACTCAGAGTAGTTACTTTTTAACCGTTGATGTTTAATCCATTATCAATAGCACATTCAGTGGAAAGAAGAATGTAGAAATATCTACTTTCAAACATTTCTCTGTTAGTAAAAGATATGAATGGATCAAAGCAGGAACTAACCGGCCGATATTGGCCTATTGGAGACCTATCAGTCTTGGGTATATGTTATCAGATAATCACCTATATGAAAATGGCTGCTTCTGGTATATATGCAAAGTTTAGATAAGCTTTAGTTTGTGTTGTGATTTACTATACTGTGGCAAGCAGCACAGAGTAAAAGAGAAGAAGCAGCTCTCAGCAATGTTAAAGAATATTGAACTTATTCAAAAGTTATTTGTTTAAAAAAGCAGCCTTCTGAGTCGGTGCACAATACACATAAAAAAGGTATTTTTTCATTCTGGCTAAAAAATTTAAAATTCTTCAGCCAACATACTGCTAAAAAAATGCTAAAAACAAAAATTACAGGTTTGGACAAAAAGACTTAATTACAGTAACATGAGTAGTTGTTTTTTGATACTGTCACCCTTGAATTTTTGTGCTGGCTGCGTAGAAGAGACTGGGTTATCACCACTATTGTTGGACGTCTTTATTGTCTTTGTTTTGTTTTAAGGAGATAAAGAAGTTGCCTGCTACCACTCGCACTCTGTGGGTCAAAGAGTCAGAAGTCTGGGGACTTTGATATCTACAAAAACTGAGACAGCGTAGAGGAGGTTGTTGTAGATATTGGAGTATCTTCTTGTTGATTCATGTTGTCAATCTGTGAATCAGGTCCCCTAAGCCCCTCTGTCATCTGTGCAGCATGTATCAGTAACAGAGCCCTACAGTAACTTTGCTTACAGCTGGATTCACTGCTTGGTCCACCAGATGAGCATCAATAGTTACCCATGTTGCTGCACATTGTAAATTTGTGGTGTTCAACAAGTTAATGACATTGCCCACTCTGGTTTGAGTGACATACAGCTTCTGGCAACCAATAAAACCTCATGTTTATTGAGTGTCTGTGAGTGTTTGAGCATATTGTTCAGCTCTGTCTCAGATTTCTGGACTGCTGCTGTATGTCTAGCATACCAAGCGGAGGATGCATTACACTTCCTCTGGTATATTACCTTTAGACTGGAAGAAAACCTGCTAACAGGGTTGGGAAGATCTAGCACAAGGAGTTCTTGTAGGATACAAACATGTAGCCGCAGAATACTTGTACTACAGGCTGTAGTCTTAACCACTGCATAGCTAATATGGATAAGGAATGTTACCCCTAAAAGCATAACTGCCACTACTGTTAAAATATGGAGGACAAAAAGAACTCTTTGGGTTTCAGTCGGGGCCCTCTGTTAAGTTTGATCAATCAAACTAGTTAAATAAATTAGAAATGTGGCTACAGATATACTTTACTTGGGTGCCTATGGGGTCTTAAAGGGTCATAAATCCAATAATCTGAACTCTAGGCCTTAAAATGTCTTAAAATTATGGATAGATATTTAAGTCCTTTATATGGATTTAATGAATGAAATTTAAGTTACTTAATTTTGTATTGATCAACTACAAAAAGAAACCAACCAAAGCACCAATATCGATTTTTCTTCATCTTCCACAGTATGGACGTAAAATAGCTCTTAAATAACATTCAGGTCTTCAAAAGTATTAAATTAAACCTGTTGAAACTGACAGAAACCCTGTTTACTGCAAGCTAACATTTGTATGGTTAAAGTTGTAAACAGGAATGAGCTGACATTACAGCTCAACAGTTGTTGAGACTTGTCATTGTGACTCACAAATGTCAAAGTGCTGATAGTGCTCGAGGAAAAGTCAGGGGAGCACCAAAGTGATCAGGACTCATACTCTTGGCACAATGAATGTCTGTACAAAATCCCATTGCAAACCAGGAACTGGTTCTCGATTCCCCTCCCTAGCAGCCATGTAATATCAGTTCACTCCACAAGAGACCTCAAATGCATTTAACATGTAGAACTCCAAGGTAAAACTTTGTCAGAAACCTAGATTATGTACTGTACTGTTGTTGCATTGTCATATCTCTTTCTGTGCTTTGTCATCTCAGCCAGGGATAGACATCTAACCACTGCCTCTCCCATTAGACTGTGGATCCTGGGCTTCCAGCATGAAAAGATGCTGAAGTCACCTGCTCATTGTCCTGTCACTTCATGAAAACATTGTAATAATTCATGGGTTATCCATAAAAATGTCATGGGGAGATGAAGGAGTGTTACATTCTTTCTCCTACAGTACTTGTGATCATTTTAAATCCCGATCCAAGTGCACTGTTTTGAAAGGCAAGCTTCAAAAGGAAAGGCTAATTTGTAACCATGTTTCCTCCATCGTATGACCAGCCCACTACTGGTACTTTGGTGTAAAGATACGTGTGATGTTATCATCAATGTTGGTTTGACATTTATCCCATGATCACATTCTGTTGTGTACTCATACCAGCAGGGAGTCAGAGGAGTGAGGACCGCTGACTCATTGAAAGGCAGTGATGCATTGTGTCTCTGGAGAATTTGAGCTTGCTGCTTCATGTGGATAAACATTAGTTTGTTCATTAGAAACAATGGACTCTTACTGGATTCTTTATGGTCCACCTTGCACCTTCGTTGTATGCTTTGAACCTTCAGAACATCAGTACTTTAAAGGTTCAGTGTGTAACATTTTGGATGATCTGGAAGAAATGGAATATAATATTCATGGCTAAGTATGTTTTCATTTGTGTATAATAACCTGAAAATAAGAATCTTTTTATTGCTACTTGAATAAGCACTTTTTATCCACATACGGAGCAGGTCATCTTCTATTGGGCCGCCATGTTGAACTGACATGTTTCTGTCCAGAACCCTAAATGTTACACACTGGACCTCTAAACCATGATTGCATCTCGGATGTGGTCATTCAGAACATCTATTAACACTTTTGCCTTCAAAGATGATAGGATGGCACATCGTACGAACCGATTTGTCGCATGTTGTTATCATATGAGTTTGCAGTCATTGCATCATTACCTTGTACATCGATCCCACGTGATGGATTCATGATCCAAGGCTTGTTTTAATCACAAGTAGTCCAATTTTTCTGTGTACCCATATTTAAACAATTATCTCTACTCTATGATGCAGCCTTTTACCATGCATTAAGATGTGGCTGTTCATCTATTAAAACTTTTGCCTTCAAAGTTTATTGGATGGCATGTTGTGAGAACCTATTTGTCGTTTGTCTATTATATGAGTATGTGGCCATTGGTTGAAAGTTGACTCTCATTATCTTGTACACCCGTGAGCAGCATGCCATAGGCAGTAAGCCATGGGCAGTAAGCCACAGATCACGTCATTCTCTATCACAAGCAATGGAGTCAGGATCCAAGGTTTGTTTTAGGGTCCACATTTTTTCTCTGTCTGTCTATATTATTTGGCTTACCATAGGCTCTTTAGTACTCAGTACTGAAAACATTTATATCTCCAGTATAGTAATGAAATTGATGGAACTTAGTATCTCTGAAGGCCTAATCAATTATCTGAGCAGTGGTTCACTGATTTCAGTGACCTGCTGATTGCCTGTATCTACTTTCTGTTACATTGCTATGAGTAGGATTTTGACAGTGTTACGAAATAACATCGCATTACTTCCAAATGTAATGACTGTGTCTAATGAACAGTGGAAGCTAAGCTGGAAAGTGTAAGTGATTCACACTGTTATCGAGGAATAAAATGAAGACAAATACAATATAACAGAACAGTTTACCAATGTTTGGATATCTGTTTGCTGGCATCATGTCTATAGAAATTGACACATTTATATGAAGTTCCCATTTCAGTGCTCAGATGTTGTGTAAAAATAATGCCTAATTAAAGCTGCAAGCAGCGTTGGGCGGGACCTCGCACTCCACGCAACTTGGGGTGTGCTGCGGCCTCGTCATGTGCCGTTGTTACACGTGCGGACCACAACATGAAAATTTCACATAAATCAGTTCAGAATCGCCACGCAGGGCTCACTTTCTGTTGCCAGTAGGTGGCGCTATCACTATGTCTGAATATTGTCATGTAGACGTGTTCAAGGCGGGACTGTTATC